ACACAGTACTGTGTAAATGTAATGACTTTACAACCACAGACTGTTTTTTAAAGGACCCGCCCTCTCCACTTAAAAAGAAAAAAAAAAAAAAAAAAAAAATGCACATACACAACCCCGCACCCACTCCCGAGAGGGAACGTCTATTAAACGCGTGCGAGAGTGTGCACGAGCCCAATTCTCCTTGTGCACGATGTGTTTAAAAGTTGCTGTTCTCATAGCTCATACAAGCTTACAGTGTCTGAACGTCCGCCCTAAGCCCTAAATCCCTCCATCACTATATGGAGTGGGGATTATATAGTGGACTATATAGTAAAAATGAAACTTTTCCACTCGAGTAGCTCTGAAAATGGCGTATAGACTGAAGAAAAAGATTTTTATCTTAAATGCAAAATGTTTACTTATTTAATTTTTTTTTTTTTTACTTTGAAATAATTACTGCTTTAAGTGGGTTGCTCTGTCTGCTAAAGGTACGAGTCGCTACACTCCAGTTAACGATTAATCGATTACTAAATTATTTCAATAATTGATTAATCACAATTGGTCCGATAAATAGTTTCATCCCTAATTGAGATATTATCTAACACATCAAGGGATTACACATTGTTGTGGAGCAAAATGAAAAGGAGGCTTTCAAACACAATAATTTACTAATTAAAAATTTGAAAGGTGTTTGGAACAGCCAACCAAAACATTGGCCTCAGTAGCCCATGTTCAGCTAGCTTAAATAAAAGCTCAGAAATGGCTTAGCAGATGAGGAAGTTATTGAAAGTGGATGCTAATCCAATGAAGAAACATTAGCTTGGATGCTGGCTGTAATCTTATTAGAAAAGCGCCAAACCATAGCTAATTTAATCTCAGCATAAATCCAGATGTCCTGTGAAAGCCTCAGGTTTGTCGGAGCAAATTGCATCATGTAAACCAAAGAGCTTAGCATATAGTATAAAGTGGAGAAATTAAAAGCAGGTTCATTAAATTCAACTGCTGGGCCGCTGACTGGACCTGACCTCAGCAGAGGTCCATTATCCTTTTACCTGGAGCTTAAATAAAATACCTGATGGGAGAGGAAGTAGTCTTCCAGAGGGACAAAGCTTCTAAACCAGTGGAAAATTTTAGATAAAGGCTTCTTCTGGTGTCACTAAAGCCCAGTCAAAGTCCAGTTTTAAATCCTGTAAACAATCTGTCGCAAGATTTAGCTTTAGTTCATCTGTAACGAAAAATGGAGAAAATGTCAGGCTGTAGATAAGCAAAAGATATCAATCATTTTACTTATTTACTCAGTTTAGCAGTTTCATCAGTAATTCACATCCACATTCTGTGGCAACAATTATTACACCAGTGAAAAGGGAAAAGGAAGAAGAAAACAATCAAAGATAAGGACCTTCCGCTGTCTCACTAATCCCAAAATAATTTGGAATACCATGGAGTACAATATGTGTTGCAAACAATATATTATTCTCAATTATTCACAGAGAGCTGTATAAGACTTTATACATTTAGTTTTATAAAGTCTTTTAAACTGATTTGTAGTAGTAAATGTTAACTCATCATCCAAACTGTTTTGAATTTTTACTCCGTGCTCTGAAATGCATATTAATTTTAAAGTAATTCACACAGTTAAGCTTTTAAAATCTTACTCCCTCCTTTTATTTCTATCATTTGAAATAAGACAAAGCACTTTTGTAAATGTATTGGCAACAATCTTTTTCTGCCTTTAAACAAAACTAATAGCATTTTTAAATAGGCTCTTAATTTTTAGATATTTGATTGAATGAACTATTTATTAGTATGTTCTCTATCATTCACGTTGTGTCAAATTCACATAGATTTGTTTTGTCACAGATTTAAAGTCGGTTTAATGTGCTGCCCCATACCTCTATAAATTAAGTCATATATGGATTAACAAATTTGTAATATCATGTGCTCTGTTAACAATTCTAAAATGTTTTTCACTATTTTTAGAAGTCCAATACTTTTACATAATTTTTGCTTTATGTATTTTAATTAAGTTTTCAGTTAAGTTTGTGATCCAGAACGACCCCTAGGAATTTAAGTCATTTACCTGTTCCACTAGTTTAGTGGTCACGGATTAGCGGACCGCGGTCTCGATCCAGACCCAACCTGATTTAAAACATTTATAAATGTCCAACCACAGTGTCTAATTTGACTTGCACCGCTTCTCCTGTTAATATGGTAAATCCCTCCGGAGCATACAATTATTAGCAAAGATGACCCTGCACATTTTGAGGTCATGTTTGGCTCAACCTGCTGCTGTGAAGCAGGATTCTCCACTTTGACCATTGTAAAAAAATTATTTAGTTTTATTCCAATTTATTCACAATTTATTGTAATTGAACCACTCATTGAGTCTAGACATTAATTTACCAAATCAAAAGCTTGGATCCTAGCACTGAATCTTGGAGGTGTCCACTTTTTTTTTGGAGATCTGATTTATCATTACCAAGCTGTACAAATTGTTCCCAATTAATCAAATAACTACTCAACCACTTATGAACTGTACCTCCTATCCCATAATGCTGCATTTTGGAATATATAATAGTAATAACGTATGGTTGATGGTATCAAATGCTTTTATTAAATTAATATCCCCGTTTTATGTTGTTTCATTTCTACTGCAGCAGTATTTTCCTCATTTAATTCTAGTAATGTTATAGATGTTGATGTATTTGCTCTGAACCCACACTGACTCTCACTAACACCAAACACCAGAGCTCATTACGTTGTTTTCCGATTGATGATTGGGGAGCAGCGCTCAGCCATTAGTCAGGTTTTGCTCTTCATCCACATCAGTTAGGTGTTCAGGTTGGTTTTTGCAGAAGGACAAAAAGGGAAAGTTCTACCTGTTGAAATGAATTTTAAATTTTAGTGTTATGGGTTATTTGTTATATATGGCCATCTAGTGGCAGGCAGAGGAACTGCTCTGGATGTTATCAAATGTATCCACATCAATTCTGCCTCATGCACTTAAAGAGACATTCCTTTCTGTGTTTCTTCAGCTATTGGCTCACCGTTCAAACCCATGGAAAGCTATCAATACTCAGGTGAGTTGTATTAGTGATCAAATATTTCCTGGGTAAGTTTGCTTCTGTTCTTATGTGTATCTTTGCTTTTCACTCTTATTCAAGCTGTGGAGAGGAACAACTTAATGAGGCTGTCTCAGAGCATCCCCTTCACTCCTGTGCCCCCTAGAGGTAAAAACACCATACAGCATTAATCCAAACATTTCTGGTTTGGTTCAAAGGTGATTGACTGTTCTGTTAAAACCCCAGTTGGAAGTTTGAGAATGAGGAAGCATGGAGGCAGATAAGAGATCTCAGAAATGTTCCGCACACATGAAGCCCTTTGCTCCACAGGGAACCAGTGACTGAGCGTCATCAGCATTGCCTTTTTATTTATACAAGCGCTTTACTTTGCTTCCTCTTGTTAAAGTGGAAATCATGGTTTTGATGGCTAACTGGAAGGATTGAGGTTTTTAATATTTTTGTCTTTTGGTTGACCTAATCTGTTTATAAAACCTTTGATCATATTAATTTGCAGGTGAAGATTCTCAGTCATCCAGGTCATAGTTATTCCAAAAAAGCTAAAAAACAATCCACTGGACTTTATTTCCAAGTTTGAAGAAGTTTTGCTTTCCATTCAGGAAGCTGTTTCAATTCAAAATGTCAGAAATAGCGTGGAGTTTGAAGGTTTATACAGTAGAAAACATGTTAATTGGAACGGACGAACGGATCCACCCCTTTGGAATTGGGATCGTTTGGTTTCTTTGCAAACTTTTGCAAACTCTTTGCAAGCTAACAAAAGTAGCCAAACAGCACCTAATCCAAAGGGGTGCACCTGTTTGTCCATTTCAATGTGCATGTTTTCTAAACAAAAACAAGGCTTTGTTAGGCTACTGTATAAAGCCTCAAACCCGACGCTATTTCTGACTTTTTTAATTGAAAATGTTTCGAAGTTTGAAGACGTTTCGCTTCCCATCCAGGAAGCTAAGTCCAGTAGATTGTTTTTTTTTTACTTTTTGGAAAACCAAACAATTAAATGTTTTGAGCTCAAATTTCCAGTTTTATAAAAACTTATGTTGACTCTGGGAAATTGTTAAGCTGTTTTTGTTTGTTTTTTGTTTGGTATGCAGCATTGTTATGACAATTAGGAGTTTGGACGTCATCTGTTCCTCTTTGGTGTTTGGTTCCCACATCACCTAACTAAACCCTATTGTTCCACAGGACTGGAAAAGGAGTTAATGATTGTATGCAATTATTTGTTGTGCATACAGACTCGCTGCTACTTTCTGTTCCTGATTCAAAGCAGCTTGTCTCATCTCTGCATCATTATTCTTGCTGCACCTCTTGCATGTAAATGTAGCTGAGGCAAGCCTTTAAGTCGTGCGAAAGCTGACACCAACTGGTCTAAAGGTCCTTCTTGCTTCTTAACCACAGCACTAATTAAGGCCTCAGATCTCACTCTTATTTCTTTTTTCTCTATTGCAGCCGATTCTTTTTATTCTTGACTTTAAAGCTCACTATTTTCTGTTTCATTTGTTGTTCAATTTCTCTACAACTGTTAAAAAAAAGTCTAAAAAGTTTTGTTTTCCTCATCATGTCCTTGACTCTGCAGTTTTTTTTTTTTTTTGTCTTTCTTCCGTTCTTACCAGTATAATTAAATATAATGGGTAATAAAAGAAAATCTTTTTGTATTTACCAGATCACCAGAGCTATAGTTAAAGTGACAATGCCCACGTGCATGGCAGCTGAATGTTGGAATAGAGCGGGTAAAAGGGGAAATAAAATGAGTTATTTCACCTTTCTGATTCCTGATCCTTCACGGACGGGTTCATCGTTGGATTGCCAACTTCAAGAGGGAGGATTTGCTATTGAACTTCTGGCCAGAGAAAAAACACGTAATATGTAGCCAACATTTGGAAGAAGAATGTTTTCAAGATGACTTGGATAATAGCGCGTTGTGACAAACACCAGATACAGCACTGGGACTTGATTAACAGGCCATACCGCACTGTGATGTGACCAACCAGTAGGTGGCAGTA